CTGTAACGGTTGCATCCCTGGCTTATGCATGTTCAGTAACTTCGGACCAGACAACGACGCACCTTTTGGCATTGAAAATCTTAATAAGTTTTAGGGTTAGTAGTGGCGCTCTAAAAATCAAACGGCGTAAAATCAAACTTTCAGTTGAATAATTTTTAATTTATTTACCATATGGTTTACTATACTAGTGTTATGATGTTTGGCAATTTTTAATAAAAACTTCCCGATTTAATAGAAGTTTATTTCGCATTTTTTTATTAGAATGGTGTTAGTAAGTAAATGGTATATTTTACTAGAATGAAAATAATATAACAAATAACAATTTTTAGATAATTTGAAAAACAAAAAAACTATTATACACAGTAAACAAAACGACTTTTCGAAATATAGAAAAAACACAATGGCATTGAATAGTTTTTAGTTTAAATATTCGGAAATTTGACACGAAACTGGTTGAAAAAAGGAAAAAGACAATAGTTTTATAATTAACTAAGCAATACTAGTTTTATGGTAATATCAACTGATCACACAGTTACTATTAAAAAAGCAATTAATCCCGCAATAATCCAATTATAAATGGCTAAATTCAATTATAATACCCCAAAAGAGTGCCAAAATTAGACATGTTACTTCACTCACTTTTTTTATCAAAAAACAGAACTATTATTATAAAAAGATTGAAAAATTGTTTTGGTTTTCAAGTAATTCCAATAGTTTTATTCTTTTTATTAATAACAAATCCAAAACGAAACTTTAAACCCACACTTCCAATGGAACATAATGAGCTTCTCCTTCTCCGCCACGACAAATTTGTCCCTGTAAGAGTTGAGATTGCTCAAAACAAAGGCGTCCAGTATCTTTTAATTGACAAAAAGCCACGTATTGATTTGTCATTTGCTTTGGTAAGCAGAAACGTTGAAGTTTGTGTCGAACTGTTAAACGTTGACAAATCACTCTGTTTCGAGATTGTGTATGACAAGCAATTTGTCTTTCTTTGCCAGAACGACGCAATTTATAAGGAATGGATTTCTAAGCTCGCTCAGGTCGCACATACTTGGGGCGTCTTCGGATACCCAATCGAATGTGCAGTCAAAAAGTCATCCTGGCGATTCCCTATACCTCTTTTTCGTTCTATACAGTATCTTATCGAAAACGACGCTCAACACATGGAAGGCATTTTCAGAACGAGCGCATCATATGCCGCTTTACAAAAGGTCGAACAAATACTTGACCGCGATTCGGATGTTGACATGAGTACTTTCGAAGAGAAGAGAGTCGCTGCATCGTTACTCAAAGACTACTTACGACAACTCCCTGAACCGTTAATACCATATAACGTTTATGACGAATTCATTGCGCTGCCGAAAGAGCAAAACCCCGAAATCTCGGGAAAAAACATGGTTGAAAAGATCCCGATTATCAACCAGGACTCGTTGTGGGTAGTGTGTAGTTTTTTGGTACTTGTCATCCAAAACAAAGATGTGACAAAGATGAACGAGAACAACATCGCGACATGCTTTGGATTGACTTTAGTCAGACCACCCCCACAAAATAACATCGACGAGATGACGCATGTAAAGGGAGCGCTTGCTGCATTTGAGGTGTTTATAAGGAACGCGGAAAAGATATTTGAGAGTGTAAAAGAGCGGAACATAAAACTTGGTATTGATTTTCCGAAATACCCATGCGTCATTCCACACCCCAAAATTCCCTTTTATAAACTAGCCGCAAAGATAAAGAGAGAGACAGACACCACACCATTAATTAATCTTGGGATCAAAAAATCAAATGACGCTGAGAATATCTTACAATCTGTTCATAACGAGGCAGATGAAGCGAAATACAGAGAGGCCGAAGAACTGAATCAACAAAAGAGTTTGAAGGATGAAATCACTGATTCAAAAATGGGTAAGTTCTTGGGTAATGTAAACGGCAAATTTAAGACGTTGGTTGGACAGGGCGAAAAACAAAAGGAGAGTTCGAGTGAAAGGAAAGACAGGACATGGCCTCTCTGGTTCTTCGAAAAGGAAGAGAAGGAGGAGGTGAAAGACGACAACGCGGAGTTGTGCCGAGCGGTCACTTTGCAACAAATCAACACAATCGAAGACTTGAAGCGTGAACTTGAAAAGGTCAAAACAGAACTTAGCAATGTTAAGAGAGAGCGCGACGAACTTAAAGACGCCAAACGAGAGCGCGACGAATTGAAAAAGAAGTACGAGCCTGATACATTCGTCGAAGAGGCTGACAACTCCGGAAATGACTCTTCCGATGATGCTTCTGACGACGAATACTCTCCTGTAAAAATTGGAAAATGAAGCCAATGCCTTCGTAGTGTTTGTAATTCATTTTTAATTTTGGCGTCTGCTCTATAAATAAATGCACCTCTTTTATATTTAAACTATGCATAATCTATATTATTTTTTTGTGAATGTTTATTGATATCCATATTATATTGTAAACTGTATTATACGTATTAATACAAAAAAGGCTTTTTATTGTGCAAAAAACAGTTAGTCTGTATGACGTGGAATAAAACAGATTCTTTGTTCTTTCAAACCAAATGAGTAATTAAAAGAACCATAAATAACTAGTAAAAATTGACCAGTGAGAAACTTGAAAAGGAGCTGAGGAATTCACAAATCAATGCGATTCAACATAGTTCTCGTGTTACTTTTTGCACTTACTGTGCACTCACTGGATTACTACAAAGTGTTAGGTGTTGCAAGAAACGCCAACGACAAAGAAATTAAAAAGGCGTACCGAACCCTTTCCCTCAAGTACCATCCCGACAAGCCGACTGGTGACAAGGTCAAGTTTGAGGAGATCAACCGAGCGTATGAAGTCCTTTCCGACAAACGACAACGTGAAATCTATGATGCCGGTGGAGAAGAAGCGTTAAAGAATGGGGGTCAAAGCCACACGAATGCGGAAGATGTCTTCAAAACGTTCTTCACGAACTTTGGGAATGGAGGCGAAGATTCATTCTTTAATTTTGGTGATGGGTTTAACTTTGGTGGGGACAGTAACCAAGGGTTTAACTTCAATTTTGGGAATCAAGGAGGGAATCGACGACGTGAGCCCAAACCGAAGAAGACCCCCAACATTGAAGTCGACAAGGAAATCACATTAGAAGAGATTTATAATGGGGGAAAGACTACTGTCGAATTTAAGAGAGAGAAATTGTGTGGGAGTTGTCATGGCAGTGGTGGAGAGATGGAGACGTGTCCTGTTTGTCAAGGGAGTGGGTCCAAAATTGAGTTTAAAGGGGGGATGCGGTATCGCACGACGTGTTCGAAGTGTGGAGGAAAAGGGTCTATAGTTCGCGATAAGTGTTCGACGTGTCATGGGAAAGGGACACAAACCAAAACGATGAGTGTCCCTGTTGAGATCCCACGTGGAGTGAATGAAGGGGATACTGTAGTTATTCCCAATTTCGCGAATGATGCGTATGAGATGAAACCGGGGGATGTCATTGTGAAATTTGTATCAAAGCATCACCCGATATTTACTCGAAAAGGGTCCGATTTATTTGCATCGATCAATGTTTCTTTGTTAGAGTCGTTAGTAGGGTTTCAAAAAACTTTGAAACATTTGGATGGGTCGACTGTGACAGTTAGTCAACGGAAAATTACACCGCATGGGACAGTCATTCGTTTCGATAATATGGGACTTCCACTCACAAATCGTTCATCCAAATTCGGAACGTTGTTTGTGACAATTAATGTGATGTATCCAGCCTCGTTGAGTGATAATCAAATCAAGGAGTTGTCCAAAATTTTGGATTAATTAGTTAATTAATTAATATATCAATTGTTATACTTTTACTATAAATATACAATACAAAAACTTAACTCAAATGTCATTCAAAACATGATCAATTCCAAACAGTCCGCAGGAAGTTGTAGAAGTTGCCAAATATGCCTTTCCACCAGTTGCCTTCCATCATAGCCGTAAAGAAATACGTGTTTGGGTCATACAAGTTACATGTCCTCCCAGCAATTGTGAGGGTTTTTAAGAGCATAACATGCTTTGCGACAGACTGGTCCGCAAACACCACTCGCAAGCCTCTTCGACTGGGGACAATGTCGGTGATATACCCAAATTGGCCCAACACGCTCGTGACAAAAGGAATTTCGTTCATACTCACATTATCAATGTCCACACTACACAAAAGTGGGTCAATAACACATGGCTGTCCTCCAATATACGACGTGTTTGCTTGTTGATACTGCGACATCCCCAGTACACTCTGTCCAACATTTTGATTCATACAACTCATGTTGACACTCATGCGCGGACCGTTCTGGACCAAGTATTGGTTTGTCACCGTTGGTTGCATCGAGAACCGCTGTGATTGGTCATATCCATAAGCAGAGTTTCGCATATTTGGTCTGATCATCGGGACAATGCCGTTGCTTCTATACGAAGGCATGACCGCCTGACTGAACTTTCTTGAGAAAATCGGTTGATTGATGGTCTCCCGCTTCTTCTCCAAATCAAAGACTTTGTCGAAGCTTTGGACACTCTTATCACCAACTAGTGATGGTAAGACAATGTCTTCTTTCTTTTTCAGCTGTTTCATTCGAATGCTGTCTGGCACGATTTTAATTGATTCCAATGGTTTTGTTTCAGTGGTTCTATATCGTGATTTTGTTAAATCGACTGTAGGTGCTGGTACGGTAGGAGTTGTTGTTGCAGTAGTATTAGTCAGTGATGGCGTACCACCAATAGAGTTACTGAGTGCGTTACCAAGTATACCACCAGTAGTACTACCAATAGAGCTACCAAGAGTACCACCAATGGTACTACCAATTGAGTTTCCAATTCCCGGTGACAACAATGAGGATGTTGTTCCTAAAGTATTGTTTCCGGCGGTCGTTCCAAGTAATCCATTTGAAAACAAGGAATTATTTTGTGTGTTTGGGGTAGACCCTGGAAGTGATAAATTAGAAACTGGTTGTTGTGGTGTTGTAATGTTTCCGATTCCTTGTAAATTCAACGTATTAGGTACTCCAGTAGTTTGGGTTTGTTGTAATCCGGTAAGAGGCATATTAGGGTTAAAATTGAGATTTGTCCCTTGTTGTTGTGTTGCGGTGTTAGACGGAAACAATGAATTCGTTGGCGCAGTTATTCCACCTTGTGTTTGTTGTTGATTAGTTTGGAAGAGTGAATTGTTCATGGCACCGTTTAATGGGTTTGTCGTGTTAGTTCCCATAAGTGCGGTAGCACCAGTCATCCCCATGTTGTTTCCCATTAATCCAGTATTACTGGGCATACCCATAGCGTTTGTGGGTTGCTGTTGTTGCGTTTGGAATATGTTTCCACCCGCCATGGGTTGTTGTTGTGGTTGGCCATAGGGGGAACCCATACCTCCGGTGGGATTTGTTCCTGTATTAGTGCTGAAGAAATTTGATAATCCTTGCATTGAATTATCTGTTCTTTCCGCTTTTTTTAATCTTCGTTTTTTTTCTCAAATTAGAGATATCACTAGATCAGGTTGATAAAACAAAAGTTTATTTTAAGTGGGATTATGGCTATAATAGTGATTTTTCAATGAATATTTGTAATTAATTGAAATAGATTTATTTATAATCAATTTCTGATAGTTCACAAACCCTCAAATTTTTTATTGTTTGTTAAATTAGATAATTATACTTTATATAAGCGGGATTTGTTATAATTGTAATTCATTAATAATTATGAATTATATATATATTTTATTTATATAATTATAATATTATTCTTAACAAATATATAAATTAAAATAAGAATAGTGTTATTAATATTAACTATAATTCATTAATAAAAAAGTAAATAATTATAAAATATGGTAATTTAATTATACACTTATAATTTATATGATATGAATATGAGAGTTTATAAATATTAATTAAAACTTGAAAAATATGGACAACGTAGTTAAAGAAGTTAAACAAATCATCGAAACATCAACGCCATCCGAATACAACGGGATTCGATCATCTTTGCAATCTCTCATTGATTTGATTGATCAAAAACGAAAAGTGAAAACAGACGGAGATGTGACAAATGATCGAAGTATTGATCATCTTAAAATGGTTGACGAGAAATTAAAGTTGTTCTCCAGAGAGTATATTTTTGTTGAAGAAAGGTTCAATTTTCCAATAACATTTCAAAAACAATATTTCCGCGTCGAGTCACCACTTCAATGGTTAGAAGATTCTTCAGCAATGATTCTCTCTAATACAAACAAAACTCATTATGACATCATCTACAATACAAAACTAAATAACTGGGACCGCACTTTATTTAATAAAACGATTATATCTAAACAATCTCTTCTCTTTCTAGTGTTCTGTTCCGACATTGCGATTTCATTTTTCATTGACTCACAAATTGTCTTTGACAAATACATTGAAGATCCTAAATTCTTTGTTTCATTTTTTCGAAAGACAGAAAATGGTATAAAATATAGTAAATATATTAGAAATCTTACTAGCGATGATCCCCTTGACGCGATGTTGATTTATAGTAAACACTCAACACGATGGTTTGGTTCCTATGACCTTTGGGTCCAAGCAAAGAAAACTGGAAATACTGAAAAATTTTCTGACTTTTCAAGGCACTACTCTTTAGTCGATGGGCAGATTGTTGATTTCATTGGAAAGTGCAAAGCAGAAAGTGTTATTGTTCTTGCTCTTTCTTAATAACATTTGCTATATTTTATTAACAACAATTTATTTATTTGAATTGTTGTTTTCAGTCGACAAGAAATTGTCAACTTTTTTCGTTTTTTGATAATTTCAAAGGTCTGCTATTTGGTACTTGTATAGTAATGTTATTAGTAAATTATAATAAAAACCTCAAAGTATTTCACTTTTTTTTCATTTGTTTGTCTGTGTTTTTTTATGATTCGTCTGAACAAAATAAATAAATATCAAACATCAATTTATAGTTAACAGTACTATATAAATGGTACTGTTTGTCTTTTGTAGAAATAGTTTTGTTACGTCAAAACCACCAAAACGAGAAGCTCTAATAAAAACTTGCAAAGTATTTAGACAATCACACGATGTCATCTCCTCAAATCAAGGTACTCATATTGCGATCTCATATAGGTGGAAAGAAGGCTTGGAGCGATATGGCGGAACGGGCGAATACTTTAGGGCATTTTTCACTGAGTATGGAATACTTGATGGACTCAACTTTTACATACTCAGACCTTGTCAGAATTATGCCAGACGTCATTGTTTGTTCGGACACCGCAGGTGCACCTGGTTACTTCTCTGTTGACGAAACCATCGCTTTGAAGCGATTCTTAACTAAAATACCATGCAGAGGTATTCTTGGGACATATGCATGTTTCTATCATACTGAAGGATCGATGGGGTCATTTAGAGTCTTTGATAATAGACAGATCGCACCGCTCTTCGGTCTTGATGAGACGATGACATTCACTTCAGTGAAAATTGGGGAAGATACCATTCACGAGGAAAAGAAGGGAACTGCATTGTTCAACAAATTGGGGGACAAACATACAATACTCGGTTATAAGTCGTCGAAAGTGCCAAAAGGAGGGTCGTGGGTTGTTGATGGAAAAATAGTAGGAGCAAAAGACAGTGTTCAATTGGTCGCGAGTAATGACGATCATAAAAGTGTTGTGTTGCTTTATAAAAACGAGTTTTATAGTGCTTTGTATATTAGCTCTATGCCAGAATTCGGTTCCACCAAAAACACGCCCGATGTACAACTACTCTACAATTCCATCGTGACATTATTTGAATGTGCCAAACTGAAAAACCTCTTCACGTTGTGCTTGAAAAGCATTTCAGAGCACCAAAAAGAGATTGACGCAAATTTTTTGTCGACAGACTTCTTGGAACAGTTCCCGAACTTTGTGAGAGACTCCATTGTTTCAATCATTTTGTCAAAACCAAATGCCAATTTGAAGATGTTTAACATAACGAGGATTGACTGCAGCAACACCACACTCGCCAGCCCTGTCCGCTCGGTGTCTATTTAACTTGTTTTTTGAATGCTATACAGTTCTAAGTCTGAGTTATAATTTTATCTTAAAAATACAATACGAACAAAAATCTAATCAATTTAAAAACATATGATTTATTTATGAAATACTATTTATTGCAGCACTTCTTTCCCCTCTTGTTTTGTTTGTTCTGTCTGTGTTTTTTCTTTGGTGTAATATTGTTCTTCGAGAGTTATTGGATATTCAACTTTTGGAGTTTCTTCTTGCATTTCCTCCTCTGCTTGGAGTTCCTTTGTTAAGTCGACACATTCTTTGGATGGGTTGTACGCACATTTTGATTTGTTATTTTCAAACGCGAATGTTGGAAATGACATTGTTCGTCTTTGAAGTCTTTCGAGTCCTTCGTGTTTTTCTTCTATTGTGAAGAAAATCGTTTCGTTTGGTTTTCGGAGAGTTTCTCTCTTTTTTTCGACTTTTTCTTGTTTTTCGATGGTCGCATTTTCGATTTTCTCAATTTTTTCAATTTCGACTTTTTCAGTTTTTTTAACAAAATTGAAATTTGTGAAATTTTGTCTTTTTCTTTCTGCTTCAAAGTCGACAAAAGATTTTGACCGTTTTTTCACTTTTCCATGTTTGTCAATTTTTTCATTTTTTTTTGACTTTTTTGACTTTTTCCTTTTTATAGCATAAGATTTTTCCTCTGAAGTGATCAACTGAATATTTCTGAAGGGAGAGTATTGGAATATCCCTTTTACCTGATTCCACGAATCATTCACATGTTGAGCCAAGATCACATTTATATCAAGAAAAGTTCCGCTTATGTGTTCTAAAGCAACTTTAGAATAAGCGTCTATGATTTCCACATCACTGACTATTTCATCCCGAAGGTTCTTGTATTTGATATTAGCATTTTTGTATTTCTCATTGACCTCAGCTATGTCGTAGAAATTGTCTGTTCTTTTCAATTCATTTTCAAGTTCATCTTTGTATCTGTCTTTATCTATCCGCCACCGATGACACTTCTCTGCACGTTCATGAAGAGTCTGAAGTTGTTCTATAAATTCATTAATTGGTTGAATGAGTTCAATTTCAATTCGAACTTTAGTGTTTTCAAACATGTCGGTGTTCTTTAAGATGTTGTTTGAAATACTTGATATTTCTAAAGAGTCTTTTGCTACAACAAGTTGTCCGACACTTGTGAAGGTAATTCCAACTAAATTATCAACCTTTCCAATTTCTGAATAGACTCTCTTCATGTTTTCAACAATAGTCTTAAACTGAGCTATTTTATCCTTCAACAATTGTTTAGCGTTATACATGTCCATATCAGTGTTTTCCTCTTGATGCCAAGGTGGCTTCCAAGTTGGAATTTCTTTCTTTCGATAGCCTTCAAAACAGAATTCATTCTTTTCTAGATGCCATTTGCACCTTCTATTTATATGACATTCTATTTATAAAAAAGTTTCAATTATAATATAATAAATCAATAATTAAATTAATTAATTGGATAGTTCTTTGTATTTCATCATCACCTCCTTTGGCAGAGATAGATCAAACAAATTCTCGATGTTGATCTCGTAACAACTCGACACATACAACTTTTCAACGCTGCATGGAAGTTCAATTGCCTTCACGTTTTTTACATCATCAAACGAACATTTTTTCATCTTTTGATTTTTTTGAAGTCCATAAATACTCAAAGTTTTTTCGTATTTTCCAATTGTCCTCAAAAAAAGAGTCTCGACTTGTGGTGGAAGTTTAAGTACACTCAGCCGAAAGATATTCTCCAGTCTTAACTCTTTCAATTCTTCATTTTTCTCGAGGTCCAATGATTCAAGAAACGCAATATTAGAGAGAGACAACATTTCAAGATGATTTGGAAATTCAAACCTTCTTAAAAAAGACGCAGAATTAATAACAAGGCACTTTACTCTAAAATTCCACGTTGTATCAAACACGTTTGATATCACATAGTCATACGTCTCAAATAAGATGTTTTCCACTGTTTCTGGAAATATGATTTTCGTATATACCGACATCGACTTTGGGCATTTTACAGAGAGAATTGATTTGAATTCCGATAAATCTATGAGTTGTATACCATCATCCTGTTTATTTATTTGTAAAGAATTGTTATATGACATCTCGATGTGAGTAACTTTAGAAGAGGTGATATAGTCCTTTAAATATGTATTCTTTGAAAAAAAATAGTAAGGACCAATTATCAAAGGACTTTCTATTATAACATTTTTGGGAATGTGGTCGTCAAATAAGGCGAATGTCTTCACATAAAAATATGTGTTTTTCCTTGTGATGATATTTAAGTTCGAAATAGTTTTGACTGAAGGAACAACACCAAAGTTGATGAAAATTTTGATCTTTTCTGGGACGGTTTTTAAGATGTCAAAGGATGTGTTTTTTATTTCAGTTGATGAATAAAAGTCTATTGAAATTTTCATTAATTTGAGTCGTTGAAATTCGTTGTTTTCAACGAATTTGACAAATTTCAAAAATTTTTGATATTTTTGCTGTTGCACGACAAATGGGTTATTATAAAAGAACGGTTGAATATATACATTTTGTTGATTGTCATCTGTAAAATTGAACGAAACATTTTCGAGTTCTTGATACTCTTTTGGTTCGACAATATCAAAATAAGACACATCCAGTTGTACTACTTTTCGTGTTTTTAAGATATCGTTAATGATTTTGTTGTCATTAGATGGTGGGGTATTATCTGGTTTGATATACAATGACACTTCTTTATCAACTAAAGTGAATGGAATTGTATCAATTTGAGAAAGACGAAATGAGAACGACAAAAGTAAAGGAAAGTGTTTGAAGAGAAATACAAAATCATCAATTCCATAGATGTGTCGACTTTGTTCAACAGATGCACACACCTTTTTACTGACTAAAACAATAGTTTGAATCTCTTCTTTAGACAAGTACTTCACTATTTCTCTTACAAAGACTTGTTCGAGTTTCATATAAATTTCTGAGTTCTTATTGTTTTGTATTTCGTTCATTAAAACTCAATTTTTAAATTACAGAAATGCCAAGGTTTCAAAACACACACAAAGCAGAATCTCCATATAAACCACGCACACCAGAAACATCAAGAGAACGTTGGCACCGCCGTTCAAAGTATTTTGCTCAAGGAAATACGTTAGACAAGCAGCGCGCATCCGAAGTTCTTAAGAAGCGAATGTCCAAAATCGAGAAAGACATTCAGAAAAACCAAAACCCTAATAGTCCCATGAACAGAGTTTGTACTATTCTTTTTAATTTATTTATAATACTCACTATAAGTTCTTGCGTGGAGAGTTTGACGATCAATTGGACGACGAAGACAACATAGGCTTCAAAAAAATGATGGAAAAAGACTCAGCACCTCGTCGTTCGGCAAAAGAAATATCGCGGCCAATGTCTCTTCTAGAAGCCAAACAGAAGCGCCGTGAGTTAGAAAAAGAGCGTCAGATGAAGAAAGAAGAAGACCAAAAGCGTCGTGAAGAAAATGCTAAGCGTCGCGAAGAGAAACTCGCAAAGAAAAAAGAATTTCATAAACACACGAAAAAAGGTCAAATTATTATGAACAACTACGCCAACAAGTTATTGACTGACATCCAGAGTAAAAAGTGATTGTTATTTGATTTATTTCCATTCATCAAACATCATTAAAACAGTAATACAACACCAAAATTAAAACAAACAATCATTCCACCCGTGTCGATAATAAACTATTATCTTTGTCTTTCACTTCGATACTCACTTCTTTATTGTCTACCTCTTCTTGTGGCTCGATCGCAAACTCAAACGTCCCATCTGCAAGTTGTTCTATCTTTTTTAATAACGTGTCGTCGTACCGATTTATGTCAAACACAAAGATTTTCCCGGGCTCTCTTATGATCCCAAGTTCATCATAGATCGCTTCAATGCGCTTACTCGATACTTTACTCAATTTGTACATGATAATCTCCTTCTCTGATACGCTCAATCGTTTTCGCTCGTAAATATCACTCGTTAGTATATTTTCATTAGTCATCTTCTTCACTCTCATTTTTAACTTCGAAATGTACTCTCTCATTATTTCCGCTTCTACATCATCCTCATAATACAAATTCGAGTGTTCGTAAACGGGCTGAAATCCGACGGGGAAATATGACACCTGAAACTCTTCGAGTGTTGTAATCGATGTTTCCACATTCCGAAGCACAAAGACTCTATTATACAAATCCTCGAAGACTTTCAGTAATTCCTCGGCGTCTTGGTGTATCGGAGTTTTCTTCTCATTGTAATTCATAGCATTCTCAAACACAAGAACCATGTCCTTGGCAAACTCTTTTCGATTCTTATACGCTCCATTCATCAATTTCTTCCTCACCGTATATAAATCCATCGGATCCTTCACTATCGTGAAATAATCCAACACATCGTAGTATATCGGGTCCACTGCCGTTCTAAATGGTTCGCTCTTATTCAGTTTAATGATTGAATTTAATATCGGGAAACACTTCGCCATGTCGTCGCTCATGTGATACAGTTCCTGGTAATTCTGTACGTCATAAGGCTCATATTTATGCAATTTCTTCTTTTCTTCCTTGACAGATTTATCTTCAGTCACACTCAACTCGTCTCCTTGTCGATGTGAAGTCCCAGAACGTCTCCTCTTCTTTGGCTTTTCTTTCATTTTTTGTTCTGTTTCTTTCTGCTTAATTTCAATTGGATTTTGTTCGTTTAATGCTAGAAGAGACTCTGGAACTTTGTTTTCTTGAAATTTTTGTGGTATTGATGGTAATGATACATCTTCGACTTTTTCACTCTTCTTTAAAACGTTGAGTGGTTCGATAATTAATGGAGACACCAGTTTAAGTGGTAATGACATTGGTGTTACACTTGTAATGGGAGGAAGCGCATCTTCCAACTCAGCAACATTCTTTTCAATTGCGAACTCTTTTGGAAGTATATTTATTGATAGTGTGGACTCTTCATTTGGTTCAGTTAAAACATTCAACGTAACATTAAAAATGTTACTATTCGCTTCTTCATTTGGATTAATTAATGAATGGTCTTGTTTCTTTTCTTCAGTTATGACTTCGTCTATTTTCTGGGGGTTTTCAGACAATGTATTTTCCATTAAGTTTGTTGGTTGGACTTCTTTTTGTTTGTGGACGTGTTTCTTCTTTTTGTGATGCTTTTCTTTTGGGGGGATAACTTCTTCATGAACTTTCATTTCATTTTGTTTGGTTAACTCTTCTTCCATTGGTATCTGTCTCTTTATTGCTTCAATAGCATGTTGGGTTTCTGTTGTTAAAACTTCATTTTCACGTGTTTGTGCTTGTGCCAAAGTAGTATCCGAGAAAGAGTAGTTTGCGCCAATGGTATGACAATTAAGGAAGTACTGGTGGTATTGCTGACACATTTGGCGTTGGATTGCAAGGTACGCCTGACTCTCCTCGATCATCTCCCGCATTTCTCTCTCCTTCCTATACGCTAACATTGCCATTCGTGACTCAAACGGAATTGTTTTGACGTCCTCTTCTTCTTCGCTCTCGGATGTGAACACCATTGCGCGGTAACTTCTCTTCGGCCTCATCTCTCTCTCATACGAGTCTTCTTCACTTTCTGACGTGTCTTCACTTGTTGTTTCACTACTCTTGTCGGCTTCAACGGGGTATTCCTTTGTCTTCTCTTCTTCCTCCATTTTTCGTTGTTTCTCATTTCCTTGTGGTTCTTCTTCCATTCTTGCAACATCATTCTTCTCTTTTGCCATCTCTTTTCCCCCATGTTGCGTGACATCATTACTTCCAATGAATCCTTTTGTTTGAGTAACATCATTATCAACAATATAACTCTCCACAATTGTATTTACTGTACCAGTTGTGATGCTTTGTGTTTGAGTCTTTTCTTTGTTTCTTTCAGGTTGTTCATTTACCATTTCACATTCTCTTTGTAACGGTTTCTCACCCTCTTTCAATGGTTGTTTTGCTGTGGGTATTAAATTAAATTCCGTCTTTCTTGGTGCAACACCATTCTCTTGTGCTTTTTCTTCACAAATCATCGGTATAACAGATGCAACCGTTCCGCCACATCTCATCTCAACATCAATCACATTTTCTTTGGGTTGAGGTGTTTTTTGATGACTTTCCTTTCGTATCTCTTCATTTGTTTTTAAATTTGGTGTTTTATAATCTGTTGGCATACCAGAAGTTACTATATCTGATCTATTCTTTCTATTCAAAGAACTAGTAGTAACATTTTCTTTTGTATTAGAATTATTTGAGGGTATTAAGTAATCTTGTGTGGTCGTGTTAATTTGTAAAGGTATTATCTCTCCTCTTTTCGGTTTATTTTTTTCGTTTCCAATCGTTTTGTTACGTTCATCAAAAAAGCTCAATCGTTTTGCACTTTCTTCCATATCGTTTTGGAGTATTGTGTCGTTGTTGACGTGTGAAATCTCAATATTATTAATCGCCTCGGGTGGCAAAAAAAGTTCGCTTGTTTTTTTCGGTTGAAGACATCTTTTTGTATTTTCGGTTTCGATATTTTGTGGATTGTTCATTTCAGTTTCAGTAGGTTTTATTGGAGTGGCGAGAGTTTCGGGTTGTACATTCATTAGAATTGATCTTTCGTTTTGTAATTTTTGATCTCTGCTTGGAAATTCTTGCAATTTCCTTAATGGGGGCGGGTATTTTGATTGTGGTGAATTTTGAATTGGGGTTTTGTAACCGTCAGGAACTGGAATATCGCCCTGTCGAGGTGTTGTTGTCATCTCATTTTGTGATTGAGATTTTGGTGTCGGAATAACAGAACCTTTAAGCGATGGATATAAGTCTTTGTCAGAAAGTATATCTTTGGGAGGTGGTGGTGGAGCAACGACAGGGGGCTGCGAATGTGAAGGTAGTGAAATTGACTTTGAAAATGAAGCGTACGACTGACCTGCATTTATCTTGCCAAATGCAGAAGGCGTTTTGTTGATCGGCACATCAAATGGGTTTAAAGGTCTTGATGTGTCTGTTGAAATGTTGGTGATATCAATTGTGGTAATTGAAGGGTTTATAGCGGGAGGTGGTGCACCGCTCAATTGACGCATTTCTTGTTGATAGTTTCGACGTGAAGGCATCTGTGGTGTGGTTGGATTTGTTGTCTTCGTTTTTCTTTTGTCTGGTCGTTTCTTTTCTCTTGACAAAACCGAGGTTTTCATCGATGCGGGCATTACTGGCACTACATCTTCATGTTTTCGTTTTTGAGTCCTCTTCTTAGTTTCTTTCTTTGGAAGAGTTGCCGAAAAATCGATGCTTCTTGGAACTGAAACACTTCCTGAAGAAGAGAGTCGATAGGCATCATTCAAATAGGAATTATACCGTTCAGACGAACGATCCTTTTTGTGTGACGTTTTCCTTTGTTGCAGCTCGTCTTCAACAATAGCTGGAACGACATGTGGGCTTTCTCCAACATCCCTTTTGCTCATTTCTCTTTTTTCAATTTTCCAAAATTTGTTTTTCATTTTGATAAAAACTTTGAAATACCCTTTTCCTCCCAAATGTGCATTTTTTCCATATTTTACCTCAAAAATACTTTGCCTAAGTACTTTTTTCAGTAAAAAACCTCGACACAAAAAAATAATGAAATCTGCAAATTTGGTCTTTTGTGGAGAAGAACTGAATAAGAAAAACTGAACTTTATTCAATTGAACAAAATTCAATGCTTCCCATGAATTACAATCCAGTTCCAAATAAACCACTCGCCCCAAGCTATGGTGTCATGGATTATGCCCAGCCCGTTTATTCACAAAAGGAGGTTGATGATTTGAATTCCGAGAACATGAAGCTTCAACAAGAGATCGATGGGTTACAAGAACAGATTAAGAAACAGAAAGTCCATCCCATCAACTTTACACCACCCTCGATCAAGTTAGAGATCACTCCAAAGATCTATCGGTTTCGACACTTTGTTATCAAATTAACGATCGACCCGAGTTTTGGGATTCAATACACGGGAGAAGAAGTGTTGCAAGCAATCACCAAAGCCAAGATCAAGCGTGAGAACGACACTTCAAAGACAATTACAACGTGTTGGTGTTCGTCGAATAAAGAAATCATCGAAGTCGCAACATCCAATCAAGCCACCATTGGCCCTTATAAAACAGAAGAAGGGTTGTCTTATGTATTGGACCAATGTAGAAGTCATTGCACCAGCTCTCGTGATCATCACCATGGAAGGTTGGTGTTAGTCATCGACCAATTACCAGGACTCCCCCCTCTTGTCTCAAATGGCTTTGAATTGTGTGCGCGAGTCAAAGGAAGTCTTCCAGAAGAAGTCAACCCATTCACTAAAGAACAATTGATTCAACCAACTCCAAATGTTAGAGAGAAGCATCGTGTAGATCTCCAATATGATTCCGTCGATTTGTTATTCTCTGCTGTCTTTGTGTTCTCAACAGCTTTTCCTACACAACAAGAGTCTAATCACGCTATTGGACAAGTTATCATTTTCTTGAAAAGCACAGAAGGCTTTGTCAATTGCTTTAATGTCGATTCGTGTGGAATGTATGTCGTTTACTGTTATTACTCGACTTACTTACTCAGTTGTAACGCATCGGTATTGATTAAAGCTTATCTCAGTAACGAAAGACCAAACTTCTTGAACAAAGATATCCACCTCTCTGGAGAAGTAAGACTTCTCGCAGTCAGTCTGTAATCGATTTTGTGAATCACTTTATTTATGGTTGAAGTATAATAAAATTTATTACTATAGTCGGGTGATAAAGGGGGTTAATTTGGGACAGAAGTAGTTAATTTGAGTAAAAAACTATAAAATATAATTTCTTTAACCATAAAAGTATTAGAAGGGTTTTTTCAATTAACTACTTTGAAGATAATAAAAGAAAACTACAACTTTCTATTTTTGATATTATTCAATCTTTGAAAACAATGGAAGAAGAAGAGTAAGGAACCCTTGATGAAACAACCACAGGCAATCAACATAAAAAAGCAATTCAAATACAAGAAACCAGTTTAAAAATTGTATTTCAATATATTCATGATGTATATGGTTAAAATGCCAGAGTTTAATGAATTAACAACAGTGTCAATTTTTTAAAGTGTCACGGAATCACTGAAATACATCATTTGTTGAAATCTTTCAATCTTTCGTTGTTGAACCATTCCCATTGAGAAAGGAAAAGAGAAAGACCATTTTAACACCAAAACAATTGGAGTTGAAGAAGAGCAGAAAAGAAACGAAACGAAACAAAGGGAAAAACAAAGGAAAATCCTTTAACAAAACAAGTTTCAGACAAACCACAGAAAGTGCTGCGTTTTAGACTTCCACATTTCTCTAAGTGAACAAATTGAGGTGTTTTTGTTTATTTTTGAAATAGAAATTTATAATTTTTCAATTTATAATCATTTAAAATTAAAAAACTATAATTTAAATTAATATTTTAATTTTATGTTTATTTTGACCTTTAAATAGATTTTTTAAAAATTATAGTTTCAAAATTATATTTACCAAAATTAACTACCTTTGTCCCTTTTTAATGCTATTTATCCCCAGACTATAGTACTTTATTAGTATAATTAATTTATATTAATCAATTCAATTGATTTATTAATAAAAATAGTATTAAATTATTAAATTATTAAATTAAAACATAAATTATTGATTTGTTTTATTATTCTATTAAGAAATGGAAATAAAAGGGAAACTGGTATTAATGAATCGTCACTATTTTTGATAAAAAGACGACACTCTACTTTAATAACACTATAATTTGAAAAACCTCATTTGAGAACTCAATCACAATTGGGGAAAGAATAAATCTAGAATAACAGTAGTAAAAATATAGTATACAATAGTTTAAAAAGAACCAAAACAGACATCAAAATACATTTTTCATTTGAAAACAAAATACAAAATTGTTATTCAATTTTTTATCTCCAGTTTATACAAAAAAGTAAAGATGTCGACAAAGACAAGCACCCCACACATCACCAAACAAAAAGATCGAAATTTGTACTCTATGGAAGGGTATTGGGACTCAATGGACATCGCTAAAATATTTAGTACCCTCGAACACATCGACTGCCCTTATCTCTTTCCTTACAGGAACTGGAAATACACGCCCCCCGAAGTCGACTTCCAAGGAATCTTTAAAAGGAAAGTTATAGTTTGTTTTACTATAATTAAACGATACTTCAACTCGAAAAGGAAGGCAAAGGTTTATATATAGAAAGGCCCTGGTGTCTTGACTTTTGAGTCCGATGTAGTGACTTATACGCTTCAAGACTTCCTCGACGAGCAACCGAACCACACACTTAATGGAGATAAAGCGATGTCTGTGATATCGCAAGTCTGGATAGCACTCAATTCGATCCGGAATTTGTCGCCATTTGTACGAGTCCTTTCACTCCATCCGTCGAATGTTGTCCTCACAGTATTACCAGGAAGTAACCCGCCTACACACCAAATCCAAATCCAAGGGTATATTCCTCTCATCTTCTTTGATTCGATGACGGACGACATGAAGATGTATTGCTCGCCACTGCAGTTAAGCTTCATTCATAAGAAATTGAATGTGTATGATCCGCGGTGTGACATGTACACCTTTGCGTTGTTAGTCACGAAGATTTGGACGGACAAACTTCCGTATCGGAGCGAAGTCAATATCACTAATCTCTTCGACGCGAACGGAATCATATTCAGACTCCCTCTCTTCCCTAATCCATTAGTTAAGACACTTGTAGAGATGATTCTTATCAAGAACATGCCATGGGAATATACATATACCGATGACTATTTGGTCATGGCACGCAAAGCAACTTTCTTGGAATTCCGAAGTAAACCAGAGGACTTCAAAGTCATCGAAGAAATAGGTAAAGGGACTTCAGCTACTGTCTATCAAGCTATTCAAAAGACTCGTCGTGGTGATCGAATTGTAGCTATCAAAGAGATGATAGTCAACAACGACGAGATGCAATTCATTCAGAACGAAGTTGATATTATGTCGCTGTGTCGCCATCCAAATGTCATCCAAATGTATGACTCATTCACTCATCAAGGCTCAATCTTCACTTCTAACCCCGCATTCTTCGCTAATATCATTATCGAGTTCTGCGACGGAGGAACACTCCAAAACTTCTTCGAGTCCGAATTCCCAGTCAATCCATTCCCAGACTATTTGATCGCTCACGTCTTAAAAGGAATCTTGAGCGGACTCTTCTATTTACACAGCGAACATCACATCGTCCACAGAGACTTAAAACCAGAAAACATTTTATTGAAGGTCGACCCCGCTAATACAAACGCACCTATCGTCAAAATCGCCGATTTCGGACTCTCCAAAATCGTCGAAAATCGACAAATGATGGAAAGCTATGTCGGGACTCCCGTCTTCATGGCACCGGAAGTCTTTAAGATGCAGAAGTATGACTACAAGTGCGACTTATGGTCGTTGGGAGGGTTACTCTATTTCTTAAGAACACACGTCTACCCACTCAGTTCAAATAGACAGAGGTTCATGGCTAATATGCAGAACCAAATCCCTCCTGCTTACCAAGACGCGTTCTGGTCGAGTATGCCAGGACTGAAAGACTTGGTTAGTAACCTCATTGTATACGACCAAAACAGAAGATACGATTGGGCGGAAATACATAAACATCAGTATGTCAAAACTATCATGGGAGACGCTTTACATACAAGAGACTATGACAAACTCTAGTTTTATTTTAAATTCTTTTTTATGGTTTATGTATAGTTTTTTTTACTATTTGGTATGAAGAATTTTTGAAAAGAGTATTAGCGGAGCAATAATACATTTGTGAATGGATTTAGTCAGAAATTGGGTGCCGTTATTTATAACTAATAGATATATGGTAAAAAGATAGTAAAAATTAATACAAAGTGAAATTGTCATTTTGTTCTGATTGAAAAATGAGAAATAAAATAGTTTGGTGAAACAAAGAATTAAATTGACAATTCTCTCTCATAAAATAAGACATCTGAGATATTTGGTAAAAATCAATCACTCAAAAATTGCGGAATAAGAAAAGATTAATAGGACAAAAAATAACGACAATTCAAGAAAATAGAAAGAAATAAGAACACAAAGCGGTTAAATCCAAATAATTTACATCATGAAAGGATGAGGGAAAAGAGCGTCGTCTAATTCAGCATCTTTTTTCCAAATTTCGATACGGGAGTTAAGCATCGATCGTGTGATTCCCATCAAGTTTTTGCTTGTCAAATTGTTTTGGGTGAGTTGTAATAATTTTGTTTCTTTACGCGTTGTTTTGTTCAGTTTGACTGATTTCTCGTGTTTAAGAGGTTGTTGAGCCTTTCGCGGCTTTTTCTCTTTGGTTTGTTTGGAGGTCTTCACGTATAAGGATTGTTGAGCTGAGGGGAGCTGTGTTTGGTCTTGGCTGTTGCTGATTTTTTCCCAAGACTGTGTTGATGGGACTGGGCTTTGCCCAGCAATTTTTGCTATGATATTGTAAACAAGTTGCCCCTCCATCCGTCTGAAGACCTGAACTTTTCGAGTTTCCATCTTATTCCTCTCAAAAATCAAAGATTAAAAATCAACAGAAAACAACTTGATTTTTTTTTGAATTTTGTCTCCCGTTTGCAAGGCCGTTTGCTCGCCGTTGTGTTTTTTATTTGGAGGAATTCGGTGCTCTTCTACAGGCTTTTTGGGGAGGTGCTCTATTTTAAGTATTTTTATTGTTTTTACATCACCCAAATAAATGATGAGGTTTATTTCTTTGTTATAAAATGTATCATTTCAATGGTTAATTCTTGCTGTGTTGAGTTATGACTTTCCATAGTTTTTTTATAATTTTTAAAATCGTTGTTTGAACTGGGTGAAGGACAAATTCCGTCAGAAAACACACTTTTTGTTATCAGTTAAATTATTACAGTTTGATAAGTTTTTTATTAACCACTGATTCGGGAAATTATTTAGTTTAATAAAAGTTATTATTTGTGTACGTGTTTTTTATTATGTGAATAATGTTATGAAATAACAATTGATAGATAATTTACTAATAATTAATAATAAATATTTGTTTTATTATTAATACATTGCCTGGTTTCAATTGTGACTAAGACATTTTCTTCTGTTTTTTACTTTTACTATTTAGAATCATAGAATTAATTATTCAAATCAAATGAGAATTGTTCTTATCTAAACTGAATGATTAGAAACTATACTTTTAAAATTTGCAATGCTTTTCACAAAAATACACAAACCAATCAAATCACAATTTAAAAGAGAATTTATTTTTTAGAGTTGATAATACAAGATTAGAATCTTAAAAACTTGATTGGTTAAATAAACATAATTAAATGAGTTTTTTCAACCAATAACACAAAAATTGGTCTTTTCTATTATAAACTGTTCATTTTTATTCTTTTGGTATAATTTTTTTTTATCAAATGAAATAATAGATTTTTATTATTTTTTACCATTATTCATTATAGTTTTTTAGTTACTATATAAATTCAACTCAGACATTTCAGTGACTTTTATTTTTGCTTTTTTTTCAGTAATAATTTGGCAAATTAAAAAAATGCATTTTAATTAAATTAACCTTAAGAAGTGAAAACTGGATAATTTATATCCTTGTTTTTTAACTAAAAATAACTCACTTTTTTTATTTTTGTATTTGAACTAAAAAGATCTTTAATTAAGAACGGCGTGTCAGAAACCAATTTAAATAATGAAAAATTGATAAAAATCGAAGCGCTCTCATGAAAATTATTGTGTATGTCTCGTAACAGCAAGTGTTGACTATTTTGAACACATGGAAAATAGAAAACATGGGTCTGTAAAGACCAGTAGTTTGCGCGAAAACTAATCGATTTCGTGTTTTGAATTTGTTTTTAATTATTCTAAAAAAATGATTAA